TACAAAACTCCCCCCACCCCCCAAAAACCCCCCAAACAAAACAACAACAACAAAAAACACCACCCGTAAGTTGATTAAGCTTCTCATGTACTAAATAAGAAGAGAAACTGCGCTTGCTAGAATTCTAGAAGAACCTGTATTTTATGGCGTACAATTATTAGGCGTCAACACTATGTTTCTTTCTATTTTCGTTTTCATTTAGTTGGTTATTTATCTATTTATTTATTTTACAGTCAATACCATATCATGTACCTGGTGAGCGCGATTCGTTCTGAACCAGACAGCGACGAAACATTTTCTTCTTTAAAATTTTCTCCTTTTACTTACCTCCTTTCCTGCTCTCTAGTCATACTCTGTCTTTTGCTTTCATCTCCACTTTCTGCCCCCTCCCCTTCCTCTGGGCTCCTGACTCTTTCTACTGCTACTCCTAGCTCATTCTTACTGCTCTCCTTCAGCCACACCCCTAATCTTAGAGTGGGTAATGTCGAACATCTAGCTTTCTCGGATAAGCGCGAAAAAATCTCGAAAGTCCCGAGTGCAGGTTGCGAACGTTAAAGATCTCTTGGAGGTCCTAAAATCGATAAGAGTAGGCTTTCGTTCACCACCCAGGCAAAATTCAAAATAGATTCCTAACAAAACTGAGAATGCTTAATGTGAAAACAATCAACTTGTGTCCCGCGCGCTCATATGACCTTATTATGCAGCTGCAAGCGCCGGTAAGCTCTAACCAAACAGAGAAGGCTCTCTGAACGGGAAGAAGACAGGTGTCAAAGAAAGGACGTTGAATAGCTTGAACATGGCAATGCTTGTAATCATACACGAGACTGTGCTAGTGGTAAGTCACAATAAAAGTTAGTGATAGCGGGAGAGGACTTGGACTTAAATAAGAGCAAGTCAGAAACTTGCAGCTCAGTCAACTCCAACTGGACGTTCAAGAAGGTATCCACATACCATGCATTATCAAAGGGAGTACTGACAATCTTCCCTTTTTGAGGAGTGATATCGCTCATCGGCACAATGGCAGGGTTACACTGGGCAACGTGGGTGATTGGCGGGTGCCCTGTTGTGGTTTGATCCATCTCTACTATCAAGCATCTCTCATCGTTGTCTCTCCTCCTCCTTTTCTTTGTATGTTACTCTCTAGTACACCTCTGTTTCCCAGCACTTATGTAACCTACTATTAGTGTTACAATTGCTGTAAAACTCTTTCTAAAAACAGAACACTGGCCAGGTTGGGGAACGCGAGTCTCTCCCGCTATGCATACAACAGCCGCAGTAAAACCCTATAATGAATCTAACATGTAGTGGAGTATAAGGCCGGGTGGGAGGAAGCCCCTCACTGGGCCGGCAGAAGATATTCAGAGACGTCTCCAGCGAGCACCCAGGAACTCTTCGGAGACGTACTCCCGCACATAGACGCACAGCTTTGAGGGTCAGACTGCGTATTGCTTGCTCCAGATCACACATATAGCCACTAAAACTGTCGCAAATCAATTATTTTCAAGAAAATTTCAAACCTAGCAGTAAAATATCAAATTATGGGTTAAAACAGGGGGGTATGCCCCCAGATTTTTTTTACTTTGTCTAGAGGCACAAAGCATTTTGATTAGTCTATCTATGTCGGAGACGTCTCCGGATAGATACTGTGCACTGGGGGCTAGATAGAGGTTGCCAACCCCTGGCCTAGATCACTGTGGTCGCCGCAAAGAAGGGCAAGGACTCGGTCGTAATCTGGCAAAATTATGTAAACAATATGTATATTATCTTGACGTCGTGGAAGGACTGCGCACGCACATTTTCATTTTTTGTGCGATGATAAAGAAATCTACCACATAACTAACAATTCAAAGAAGGGAAGACTGTATTAATTGTATGTGTAAGGGGCAAAACATTGAAAAGACAAAATGTTAGCTTTGTGCCATAGAAAAAAAGGAATACACAAAGAGCAATATTTTTTAGGGGGGAGGGGGAAGGGGTGGAGGTGAGGAACCTTTTATATGGTCAACATGTCACTCGAGGTGAGTCTAAAAGATTAGTGGACTGCGTTAGTAGATTGATGGACTGTACTAGAAAGGGGACTAATAGTTACGATTTTTTCCTATAACGACACACTGACACACACACGCACACAAAAACACACGTGCGCAAATACACACACACACATGCACACACACACACACACACACACACACACACACACACACACACACGCATAGACACATACAGACACACACACACACACACACACACACACACACACACACACACACAAATACACATAAACACACACACACACTTAATAAGTTATTTACAGTCCTATCCTCACATCATCGAAAAGATAATGTGACGTAGAAAGATCTGCGGCTATGGGAAAGCAAAAAGTCGATCTTAGATGCG